CAAAAATAACATACAAAAGAGAAAAATAATCCAAATTTTTAAGCGTCCTAGTGTAATATAAGATGTTCTGGTAAATTTGCATGAATTTTGGATGAGTAAAACTATTTTTCCCGATTTTAGTCCATTATATACTAAAAAATTATGGAAAAATATAAATACATTATGAAAAATCCTCAAAATATTTTTTTGAGTATGAAACATGACCTAGAAGAATCAAAATTTATTAAATGCTCTTTTAATATCTTGAAACTTGGTTTTATGATTTATTTGAGTTAATCATAAAGAAAATTAAAAATCATAGAAAACAGTAACAAAAATTGATGAAACTTTATGAGATGTTAAGAGATGTTTATTAACTTTAAGGGTCATCGACGAATTTATCCAGGATTTATGGACCACAAAAAGTATTTTATATGATTTATTGCTCTATTTTCTTGCAATAATTATAATAATTCGATAAAAATGAATTATTTTCTAAAAATTTACGGATCATCTTATTTTGTTGTTTGGATTCTGGAAAAAATATGATTCGAACAGAAAAGAAGTTTTTTATATTTATTTGGGAATAAATTCTTTATGAACATTTTTGAAAGCTTTTAACAACAAACTTTGATCATCTAGCATCTAAGCTTGATGATCATCACATGCATGTTGGTTTGAAGACCATTCATGAGTTTGAAATGTTCAAAAGTCGTTTTTGAAAGAAAACTTAGGATGCATGTGGTGTTTTTCCACCAAAACGTGTAGAAAAGTGCATTTCCTTGATTTTGACTTAGGTTTAGGTCATGGGACTTCACCATCTACAACATGCATGTTGTTTTTGGGTGAAATCCTACCACCATCATCATCAAAACCGCGAGTATGTGTAAGTGTTCATGATTTTACAATAGAATGGAGTAGAGGAAGGAGAAAGTGCAAGAAAAATAGTAAAACTTGAAGGAAAAGTGAAGTAGAAATCGATTTTACCTTCAAGAACACCACAAGATGATGAAGATTTCGAGTTTGAGGTGTGTTATTGGACTTGTTTTCTGGAAAATTTCGTGGGTTTGGAGGGAGGATGAGAGAAAATAATGGTGGTGGTGATGAAGAGTGTGAGAGAAAATGAGAGGTAGAGTGAAAAAGTGAAAGTGATTAATGATATGGGGAAATAGTGTTTTAGGGTTTTCAAGAAAAAGAGAGAGAGAGGAGAGAGGTCCCACTTTTTAAATAGAGAGAGGGTCTCCCTCTTTTGAATTTTATAAAATCTAAATTTATTTTATAAAAAATATCAGGTTTTATAAAATATGCATAGTATCCTAGTTTTTATTCATAAAACCTTTGATTTTTGGCTTAGAAAATAAGGTTAAATACTAATGACTTAAATTTTATTTCTCATTGGTTATATTTTACTAAATTGAGTTATTTTAAATTGATATTATAAAGTCCATACCAAATTTTATGGATTTTTAGGTGTTAAAGTTTATAAATTTGGGTTTTTAGGGATTTTAGGGTCTTGAGCTTTAATAAATATTTGGATATAAAAATAAATTGAATTATTTGAGATTTCAATTTATGTTAGAGTTTCATAACTCTTTTCTAGTTAAAAATAATGTTTGTAATTTATTTTTATCGGTTTATTGACATTCTATGTAGTGGTTTCGAGATTCAAGCGAATTTGAAGAATCAAATATACTAGTCCTAGTTTTCAACTTTGACTTAAGTTCCAACGAGACTCGGACCTAATTTCTACTACTAGGTCAAATGCATGATGTGTGTATATGATTCATGAAAAGTTGTTCAAGTCAAGGAATGACCTGAATTTGAATAGTTGTTACAGTTAAAGTAACTACAGAAGTCACGTATCAATGTGAAATCTAAGTACACTATCCTTCAATTCTATTTGTTTCCAAGTTTCTTGTAGGTTATACCTTAGCTTCTAGTTACAAAGTCTAGTATGTGTCGTGCCTATACGTGTAACTAAGTTTAGTCAAATCTACAACCGACTCGAATTTTGACGTTTATCACAACGGAGATATGAAATTTAAACAAAAGAGATAGATTGTGTTTCGTAAGAGTTGGAATATAGGATGACCCCATTTTAATAACTAATGAGATAAAAAAATTTAATGACAAAAGAAGTTAAAAACAAGACAAAATTGCAAAAATGGTCCCTGTGGTATGCATTTTTTGGGTTTTAGTCCAAACCACGACTTTTTTTGGATTGATGGTCCTTTTGAGCTAGTTTTATTGCGTTTTTGGTCCCTCTGAATAGTGAAATGACTGTAATACCCCTGGGTTATTTATTTTTCATTTCTTTAATTTTTTTAAAAATCTAAATACTTATTTATTTATTTAACTAATTAAAAAAATAAATCTCTCTCTCTCTCTCTCTCTCTCTCTCTCCAGGTCATATACCTATTTCTTTCTTTCGTTCCCGATTTCAACGAACAAGAAGGGGCTGCTACCTCCGACAATCTGGAGATAGCCCCTGCACCACCTGCTAGCCTCCATTCGACCACTAAACTCCACCGTGAACTGCTACATCTCCGCCCACCATAGAACCATTCCAGCCTTACCCCATCTCTTTTTCTTTTCTGTTGATCTAAGCAACCCCAAACAAACCCCAATCCTTGCTCCTTCTTTCCTTTTCGATCACCATTGTATTTGGAAGACGGAAGCAGCGGAGCTGCTGTGCTACCACTACTCGCCGACGTTGCTGTGGTGGGCAGTCCCCACCACCACCAATGATATTCCTTTCAACACCCATCAATGTTGTTGTCTCCGACCACCTGTCACCGCCCACAGATCCAGATGCAGGTAACAGGTGGGTCTTTGACCCCCATCGTGTTTTAGATCTTTGATTTTTTAGCAAGCCCGATCCTTCTTAGTGTATATGATAATTATAGGTTTGAGATCTTTGACTTTTTTATGCAGATAGATGAAGGGAGAAAACGAAGCAGTAGAAAACGAAACAGCAGAAGCCGCCGGAGCAGCCGCTGCTGTGAACCACTGCCGTCGTCAGCTACTGCTTCCGTCAGTCATCTCCGACCAACCTCGTCACCTCTTGCGAACCCTGTAATTCCGACTCTCCACCTCATTATTGTTGTTTTCCTTTTCGATCGATCAAGAGTCTTGGGCTATGAACTGATGTAAATGAAGTGCCCGTTTTTTATCACAGAGAGAGAGAGAGAGAGAGAGAGAGAGAGAGAGAGAGAGAGAGAGGTCTTTTATTATTTTTTTAATTGTTAAAATAAATATTAAATTTTAAAATAATGACAGAAAAATGAAAAATAAATACCCCAAGGGTATTATAGTCATTTCAATTTTCAGAGGGCCTATTTTCACATACAAACTAGTCCAAAAGGACCACGAATCCAAAAAAGTCGTGGTTTGGACTAAAACCCCAAAAAAATGCATACCACATAGACCATTTTTGCAGTTTTGTCTAAAAACAATAAGTAAGAGCATAATATCAAGGTTGTCAAGATCAAGATCTTACATATGATAGTTTTTCACTTTGCAAAATCATGATTGTAAGATCGAATCGGATCGTAAAATCCTACCAAAAGCATTTTAATACATAAAAAGTATATTTTCACCAACCTGTTAACCATTCAGTTAACAATAAATTATTTAAAACATAAAAAAAACACTCGCTAGATCTAGTTAGAGTTTCATGGCGAATCGTCTATTTCTTAATGAAATATCTGTCTAACGCTTATCCTGCTAACGCCGCCCTTCTTATCTACGAAATTGATCCTTCCTTTCCTTCCCCAGTTTTGAGTGAAGTTCCTTCCATCATTCAATACATCATTTAGTGATAAACAATTCAAAATTGGTACTCTACGTAGTTAGTCCATGAAAAAATATTAGAACTTTGTTTTTAAAAAAATAGTCATGATCCTACGATCTTACAATCCGATCCTACGATCCTACCACGATCTTACCGAAAAACGATCCTAGTAAGATCGGGATCGATTTATCTAGTTAAGATCGTAGAATCGTACGATCCTACGATCGGAATCACAATTTTAACAACCATACATAATATGCATTATCGAAACTTTAACACTAAATATAGTATTGATAAATAATATAATGCTATATTTGGTATTATATAATTCACCAATATTATATATAATGTTAAGTTAAGTATAATATTGATAAATAATATAATACTATATTTGATATTATACTATTCATCAATAATATATATATATATATATATATATATATATATATATATATATATATATATATATATAATACTTTATGAAATACAGGGATCATTTATGTTATTTTGTGAATAGTAGGGACCATTTCTAAAATTTTGTAAAATAGAGTTACAAGAATTACAAGAATAGTCTATATAGTTTTAGATAGTTTGTAATTTGCACCTTTTGTCTCCAAATCTTGTTTTGTCTCTGTCTCTTGTGTTTTAACTCCAATTCTTCAAATAGTTTTTGGGTTGGGTTCAGGAAATCTTCAATCCAACACTAAAATTTATACTTATTTTTTACAAAAATCTATATTTTAGCCCTACACTAAACTTAACATTATAGATATATATATATATATTATATATATATTATATATATATATATAATATATATATATATATATATATATATATATATATATATATATATATATATAAAAGAAACAAGATTTGAAGACAAAACGTGCAAATTACAAACTACCTAAAACTACATAGACCATTCTTGTAACTCTATTTTACAAAATTTTAGAAATGGTCCCTACTATTCACAAAATAAAATAAATGATCCCTGTATTTCATAAAGTTTACATAAATAGCTCCTGCATATTAACAAAGTTAGTCAAATGGTCTATGTGCTTCCTAAAGTTATATAAATGGTCCTTGACTGATATCAAAATAACATATTGGTCTCTATATTTCACAAAATTACAAAAACGTTTCCTGATAACGAATTTACTCTATTTTTCAAGTTGATATTTTTAAAACATTTTATATGGTTGGAGTTAAAAGATTATTTACGTAAAATTCGCTTCACTTTCTTTCAAAAGTACCGTACAGGAGTTCTTGAAACCGTCGTTTGTGAAGCTATCCAGGAAGCATGGCAACCACACCCAATCCCACACTCATATATTCTCCAAAATCCTCGATTCAGTTCACGAATATTCAATTTTACATTCGCTCCAAACCCTTCAGATCGTCGTCATCCTCGAGGTCTGGTTCATTCGCCATCAAATGTAGTAACCCCGTTACGGATAATGGTAGCGCCGACCAGAACAACAATGGCGGAGGATTGAAGAATTTGCTGTCAGGTATAGTCGACGAACGGGTAAGCCAATTGCTGAACAGCGAGGAAAATAGAACTTTGTTAGATGGATTGGATAAAGCTACACAGCGAGTTGAATTGGCCAAGCGAGAACTTGCTCAGATCGAAAAACAGGAAATAGAAAACCAGAAGATAAAAGAATACATCAATCAACTCGAATCCAGAGCTTCCGAGGTTAATTTCTTCGTTTCTCCAATAAGCACCCTCTTTTTTTCCTATCCAAACACTCAAAAGTTAGCTTATTGTGTGCCTCTTTTTTCCTATCCAAACACTCAAAGTTAGCTTATTGTGTGGGAATAAGCAATAAGCACCCTCTTTTTTCCTATCCAACCCCTTACTGTTACTGATGTATGTCTTTTTTCCTATCCAACCCCCTTACTGTTACTGATGTATGTTTCGTACATTTCAGATTGAGGAATGCCAGAAGGAGTTATCAGAAGCAAGAGCACTGGTTGAAGAAGCAGAACGCTCACTTGAAGGTGAAGTCGGAGATAAAAATTCGATGATGACAGAAACAGAAAGAGAAGCGATGTACAAAAACAAAGAGAGATTTGAATCTGTAAAAGCTGCTTCTATCTCCGCCATAGTCGGCACCTTGGCAGGCTTGCCTATTTCCTTATCTCAGGCGACCGACGCATCACAGTTAATCCTTCCGTCAGTTATCACTCTCATCAGCTGTGCGTTATTTGGTGTTACTTTCCGCTATGCTGTTCGTCGTGACCTAGACAATTTTCAGCTCAAATCTGGAACGTCTGCAGCTTTTGGCTTTGTCAAAGGTATTTCAGAAAGCTACTCCATTAACAAGATCTCGATGATGATTAAAACCTAACAGATTCATGTTTCCCTTTGAAATTTTAACGCAGGTCTTGCTACACTAGCAGGAGGACCACCAATGGAGTTGGAAGCTGGTAGCATATTGTTGCATACTTTCAGTGGTGCTGTTTTTGTATCAGAAAATCTTCTAATCTTTCTCTTTGCTGGCGTTGGTTTGGATTTCTGCATTAAATTGGGGATTTTAAGTCCATTTCCAATTGAACCTTCAGTCCCTACCACAAAAACGGATTAAAGCATCAATTGTACCAGAAACCTTATTATATATACAACTTTTGTCATGAAATCATTCTTCTGATTCTTGCTAACATGGAGATATTCCATGGAGCTTGATGGGATTCCTAGTCCAGCAGAAGGAATCTCATTGACCCATACAACCAATCAAATTACAGCATTAATATCTCCTTAATAATAGGATTATAACTTGGGATCATATGAATGATTGTTGATTTCTTTCAAGATAATGAGTGTAAAATAAGGTGAAGTCAATGACTGTGCTTGCACCTTGTAAGTTAGTGAGAATAATAGTACACAGCATGCCATCTCATAATTTATTTAGTTTTAGTGGTAGATCAACATGACGACAGTATTCATATGCAGCTTTACTGATTGGCTATTTACTCTTTCTCTCTCCCACTCCACACACACATATCAATATTATAAATGCGAGTTTTCTAGGAGAAAAGGAAGGACAGTGAGAAAGCAACATCTGCCAGTTGACTTGCTATTATAACTTCATGCATCCTTCATCCTTTTATGTATTGAAGTAAAGAGAAACTTGAAGGTGAGTAATTCATTACTACATTGTAGAATTTTCTTTTCTTTTTGGTGTTTAAACTTTAAATTAACGATAGACACAGACATGAAGGAGACAGGTGAGATTGAAAAAGAAAGAGAGGAGGTGGGACAAGAGAAGAAAGATGATGATTATGATCATCATCTTCAAGCTTCAAAAAGACTGCAACCATGGACAAAACAGATCACAATTCGTGGAGTTATCGCGAGTGTTATTTTGGGATGCATTTACACTGTTATAGCCATGAAACTAAATCTCACAACTGGTTTGATTCCTAATCTTAATGTCTCAGCTGCACTTCTTGCTTTTGTGTACATGAAAACATGGACAAAAGTACTTCAAAAATTAGGGATTCCCTTCGTTCCCTTTACAAGACATGAAAACACAATGATCCAGACATGTTCAGTTGCTTGTTACAGCATTGCCATTGGAGGTTTTTCTAACATTTTTCAACTTCAAATCTTTATCTATGTTTTGTGAAATGTTTATTGGTTTTTGACTTTGAATATTAGGTGGATTTGGATCTTTCTTATTTGCTTTGAACAAGAAAACATATGAGCTGGCAGGAGGAGCAAATTCTCCAGGGACTTATAAAGAACTTCATGTTGGTTGGATGACTGGCTATTCTTTCTTGATCTGTTTTGCGGGTCTTTTTGTACTGATTCCACTCCGAAAGGTATGTGGGTCCCACATGGTGTATAAACACCTTTCAGTATGAAATATGTTGAAATGTTGAATACTGAATACAATCTTTATATTATTGACATTTGAGAATTCTATTTGACAGATCTTGATTATTGATTATAAGTTGATATTCCCAAGTGGGATGGCTACAGCTGTTCTTATCAATGGATTTCATAGTCAAGGAGATGACATGGCAAAGTACTTTTATAACATATTTCATAAACCCTTTTTCCACATTGTATGATCATTAACAAGTGTCTTTTTTATATATAGGAAGCAAATCAATGGATTTGCTAAGTACTTTTCAGTCAGTTTCTTGTGGGCAATCTTTCAATGGTTTTTCACTGGAAAAGGAGGATGTGGATTTGCCCACTTCCCTACTTTTGGACTAGAAGCTTATAAGAAAACGTAAACTTTGTTCCTATTTGGTATCTTTAATTGATTTATAAATAATGGGTTCTTCAGTTCTTGCTATTTTGTGTAGATTTTACTTCGATTTCAGCATGACATATGTGGGAACCGGGATGATTTGCCCTCATATTGTGAGTTTTTCTTTGCTGTTTGGAGCTGTGATTTCATGGGGTATAATGTGGCCACTTATTGAAAACCAAAAAGGAGAATGGTTTCCTAATAATGTTCCAGAAAGTAGTATGGAAAGTCTGAATGGTTACAAGGTCTTTATCTCAATTGCTCTTCTCCTTGGTGATGGACTCTATAACTTCACCAAGATTCTATATTTCACATATGCAAGTATCTACGGAAGATTGAAAAGGGAAAATCTTGGTTTAGGTAAAAATCTCAAAACCTTAGCTTTAATCAAGTGTTACAAGTCATTAACCCTAACTTATTTCCAAGGACATTATTGTCTTTTTACAGCTGTAGGTAGCGAGAAGGAAGTTACAGAAGCCGAACGATTACAAAACGAAGTGTTCGTCAAAGAAGCCATACCAATGTGGTTTGCAGTGATCGGATACACTTCATTCTCCATTATCAATGCATTTGTAGTTCCCTTAATATTTCCCGAGGTCAAATGGTACTACATTATCATAGCTTACATAATCGCTCCATCATTAGCCTTCTGTAACGCGTATGGAAACGGATTAACCGATTGGGACATGGCATACAACTACAGCAAAATCGGGCTTTTCATGATGGCGGCATTGGCCGGAAAACACCACGGAGTGGTGGCGGGACTGGTGGGGTGTGGTGTTACGAAGGCGGTTCTTTTTGTTTCTAGTACGTTGATGCACGACTTGAAAACCGGTCATGTGACATTGACTTCACCTAGAACAATGCTTTTAAGCCAAACGATTGGGACAGCTATAGGGTGTGTTGTGTCGCCTTTAACTCTTTCTTTATTTACTAAAGCATTTGATGTGGGAAACCCTAATGGAGAATACAAAGCACCATTCGCGATAGTTTTTAGAAACATGGCGATTATTGGTGTTCAAGGCTTTTCGGCTTTACCTAAACATTGTTTGGATTTATGTTATGGGTTTTTTGCTTTTTCTGTGGGGGTTAATATTGTGAAAGATTTGTTGCCTAAAAAGATAGGGAAGTGGATGCCATTGCCTATATGTATGGCTGTGCCTTTTTTGGTGGGTGGGTATTTTAGTATTGATATGTGTGTTGGAAGCTTGGTGGTGTTGGTATGGCAGAAGGTGAATGTTAAAAAGGCTGATTTGATGTCTACTTCTGTGGCTTCTGGGTTGATTTGTGGTGAAGGTTTGTGGATTCTTCCAGCTGCGGTTCTTTCTTTGGCTAAAATTAAACCACCTATTTGTATGAAGTTCTTGAGTTCTTGAAAAGGAAGCACACCACTTTGTAATCAATTGTAATGGATGCAACAATTAATGTTGAAACTAGGGGCTGTGTTACAAATACTTATGATTAATAAACAATTAATAAAGTAACACTGAATCTATTGTAATGCTAGATATAAAAGGAAGTTACTAGAGTATTTCATCAAACACCTTAGGCTCAAGGGAGTGGAGCGCGGTTTTGGCCGCACTCAATGCCACATAGGCAGGAACACCGTCCCCCTATGCGGTTTTGGGTGCGGTTTGGCCGCACCTCTCCCAAAAACTGCCGCACCTTTTTTCTTCTATCTCTTCATTTATGTGTCTTTCTCTCACCTCTCTTCATTTACCATAGTTTCCACACCCTGGGTGTCGTAAAAAACCACACTTTGTGTGGTAAAATGATGTGGCTCCTACGTGTCAAAGGAGGGAGTGCGGTTCTTGTGACACCACTCCCTCCAGCCTTAACTGCAATCTAATACAACAATGATTGTTAGAACTAAGAGTTGTACTTGGATAGACAACATTTATGATGAATAAAACGTTAGGGTTCTATTTTGGACACATCAATCTACAACACCAACCTATATTATTAGGTTTACTTTTTTGGTTAATGATTGTAATTATTATCATTTGACTAACTTTTATTATAACCTAATCATTCCTAATTTTATTATATAATAATTATTTTTTTATTACTAACTTTATTAATATTACTAAACTTAATTTTTAATTTTTTTATTAGAATGGTGTCGCTAGCTTGGTGTGTAAAAAGAAAAACCCAAGCGTTAATAAAGCGTTGCTCAATTTATTGCAATATCGTAGATAAGAGTCTTCGATGAAATTTTTTGAAGCATTTCATCAATCCCATCAACTACAATTTGAATCTGGTAAAACTTTTTTTGCAACTCAATTGAATATTGAACAAGTTTCTTTATTTTAACCGTTCATTCGTTTAATCTTCCAATTTCACAAGAAAACACGCTGTAAATTGTTAGAAACCAACAAAACATCAAGAATATTAGAAACTTTTCATTGTGTGATAGTTATGGCATTTGGGCACGTTGCCCAAAGCTCTCATAATTAAGAATTTGGAAGTTGTGAAGTCCACAATTATGTTTAACGTACTAATTGAAAAACTAGTTATTAATTGAAAAGTTAGGCTGTTAGCTTATAAACTAGTTAATAAAAAATAAGGTTTGGTAAAACTAATTGATAAACTAGGTGGAAGATATAAAATGATATAAAAAAACATTTTGAAGAATATGTTTTTTTTTTATTTATTTTATTTATTTTTATTTTTTATAATTAATTAATGGTATATTTGAAACTTTTTAAAAAAACTATTGAAAAGGTAGTGTAAGTAGTTTTTTAAAAAGTAAATTATAGTTTTGGTCCCTATGGTTTGGGTAGATTTGCACTTTTGGTCCAACCATTGGAAAATAGACAAGACAGATCCCTGTGGTTTCCCAATCTTGCAGTTTTGGTCCTTGATCCATATAAATAGACTATATTGTGCTTTTTAATTTCTTTTTCTATTTTTTTTACTCACTTATAAATTTTGATAATATAAAAAATAAAAAATGTCCACCATACCCACCCACCCCCACCCCACCGCACTACAACCCGTCAGGTTTATCTCTCTCATTCACCACCATAAACATCCCCAAAGCTTTAGTCGCCACCACTACTTCATCTCCCACCATCATCGATCAACACCACCACAAGAAAATCAGAACACATCTATTTCAATTCATCTCCTCCACCTAGGCATAAGGAGATTCAATAATGGTGATCATGGCTGGTGATTTTCTCCAAGAACACAAGAAGACAAGGCACACATGATTTCTTTCCAGTAAGTACTTCCCCTACCATCAACTCCTTTCCTTATCTCCTTTTGAAACCACCAATCACCATCCCTTTGCCTTTGATTCGTCACCTGCATATCTCACATATCCTCCTGTTCTGTTTGATTCATCATCTTCAGATCTCATAGATCCTCCGTCTTCCCTTCGGTGTCTCAACCTCTCTCCCTCCAAAGATCTGTGTATATCTCATCTCCATCGCTAACTTCTATTTCTAACCCCAGTAACATACCAATTATGAAAAATGGATCATCGACTCAAAATTACATTGTCTAAAATCCGAAACCATCATATCCTCGACACTGTATCAGCTATATTCTCCATCGTCACCATCCTATTCTTCATCATCGTTTCCCCCATCTTGGTGACTCCAATGCTTCCTACAGTAACGAACCCCTCATCTGCTCCACCACCGCCAATCTCAAACATCTATCAATACTATGATTCTATGTTGATTAGGAAGAAGAAGGAAAAAATAAATGGGAAGAAGAAATATGGGGTAGAGCGGCACTCTTGAACAGGGTGAAAAAGAACGAAAAAGGAAGAAGAATGGGAGAGAGACAATGAGGTTGGGGTGGAGGGTTAGGGGAGGTGGGCCCAAAATATATTTTATATTTTTAAAAAGAGTAGAAAATAGAAAAAGAAATTAGAAAGGGCAATATAGTCTATTTATATGGACCGAGGATCAAAACTGCAAGATTAGGAAACCACAGAGACGCGTCTTTGTCCATTCTCCAAAGATTGGACCAAAAGTGCGAATCTACCTAAACCACAGGGAACAAAACTGTAATTTACTCTCTTTTTTTTTTTTAAAAAAAAAAACTAGCTTATAAACGACTTTTTCGTTTGTCAAACATGTCAACTTAAAAAATCACGAAAAATAAGCTAGCTTATCAGTTAGGTATGATGCGCCGAATACAACCTATATACGCTTTTTCAAGTCCGAGATTATAAGATATATTGCGGAAATTCTCTCCTACAACTTCATCAAGACAAATTCTTTTGACACTTGAGACGACGAGTAACTAAAGAGAGATATGTGGTTTGTGACAAACACATTAACGAAGTGCACAAGCTTCAATAAAATAAAACATTTATCTAATAATGAAATTCTTCATGTAAGATCAAGTTTGTTGTTCTTATACGTTAAATATAGGTTTTAGATTTTCATTAGAGCTAGTGAGAGCATTTCTAGCTAACCCACATGTTGTGTGTGACATACACCTGAATTAGACTGATAGAGTGGGTGTATTGCACCATGCAGTAGAGGTGAAATGACAATGCGATATAAGGGGAACACCACACCCTCTAGTTGAGTGGTAGTGCAGTAAGGGCACTGCATGATGAGACTATACCGTGAGTTTTTCCTTTTTTAATTATTATTAATCATATATATATATATATATATATATATATATATATATATATATATATATATATATATATATATAAAGTAAAAAAAATATATCAAAATTCATGGTTTTTAATTTCCAAAAAATAAAGTATAATACTGATACATTATTTACACATATTTGAATATTAAAACAATAAGGGGATGAGAGGCAGTGAGAGGTGAGCATTCCTATCAGTTTTGTGGGTGAGAGAAAAATGAGGTGGCGCTGATGTGGCAAGCCAAAAGTATGGTATGGAGTGTTACCACACCCACTGGTCTAATATGTTGTTATTTTTCAAACCGTCTAGAATGTTAGTCCAGGTTTGGAAATATCTTATATTAATAAGATTCAGGAAACGTAGTGCAAGTATCAGAGTCTATATAGATATACCTTGATAGAAGAGCATGGAACTGTTTCAAGATACATGATTTTGGTTTTGCACTCATAAGGATGTAACATGAGATAAAATACAACATCCGATGATATATGTGCCTCTTTTGCTTCCAATAAGGCTACCATAAATAACATGCTATGTACTTGATTTAAATAACATGTTATTGAATGAATATAAATGGGATTAATGTGTATGGACTTATATTCCATGGAGAGTGTACTGGATGATTTAGTATAACAAGTAATACTAATGTGAACTTCTAGAATTATTAAGATGAATCTTGATAAATGCGATCCAACCTGTTTACATATAATATGATATTTTTTTTTTTCTAATTGAAGTTGATTTTAACAGAACATTATGGCTGATATGATAGAATAAGAGTAAATATATCACAAATTTCATCTTTATCTTTAGAAGATGTATCAAGTGGATAGATCAATGTTTAAGAAATCATAATGTTTTGAAACATTTGAATCACAATAGAGATATATTGTGCCAATGATTATGTTTTATCAATACATGTATATAAGGAACGAGTTTGTTAAAGTCAACACTATTTCACTCATTTTTGACAAACAAGTGAAGTTAGAGGTTCCTAAAAGTTCACTTAGATGAAATCACTAGTCCATGGTATGGGACCGTGCCTGTTAAAGTCAACACTATTCCACTCATTTTTGACAAACAAGTGAAGTTAGAGGTTCCTAAAAGTTCACTTAGATGAAATCACTAGTCCATGGTATGGGACCGTGCCTCCCATACAACATGTTGATGTTAATGAATTTGGTCCTCATCACACAAGAAACTTATATCATTTGTTAGATAACTTTAGTATTTAGATATTGGAGCATTAAGAAGTGATGTTTATGGTATGAATTAATGTACTAGTGCAATTCTCTTCACCAAAATAAATAAATTATTTCCTTATATTGGTGCATGGTTATGTCAAAAACCTTAAATGAGGAGCTTTAAGGGGGGTTAAAATATACAATTAAAAGCTTTAAATGTGTGTGTATATATATATATATATATATATATATATATATATATGAATGTGATATATAATTAAAATACTAGTTTTTAATTTATAAACCAAAAAAGTCTAAACTAGCTAATACACAATAGACAGTGTACCTAATCAAGCAATAGAATAGTTCAGGTAAGTCGGGTATCGAACACATGGAATAAGAATGATTAAAAGCTAAAATATCTACTAAAGTTAACTTGTTTTTTTGAAAGAGAACTAAAATATCTACTAAAGTTAACTTATTAAAACTAGCAATTAAAAGGGGGGGGGGGGGGGAGGTGGTTTCTGGTTTTGCAAGTCTAGAATACTTAAGAGCAATTAACAAA